TCTCTCTCTCTCTCTCTCTCTCTCTCTTTCTCATAATTTTTTTTTTCTCCTTAAAACTTCCATATTTTTTTCTACTCGATCTTTCTGCTCGCTATCACAGCAGTTACGTTGTCGAGAAGTCTCTGACAATTTCAATCGAGTTGCTGTCTTATCTATATGAAGAAGTACCATCAGACGTGAGAGAAGCGTGCGCGTAACTGTGAAACGGTGCACTTTACATTCGTCCTGTTTTTATTCAATTCTAATTTCTGTAAAGTTTACAATAATAACACTGTTTTACGCATCACTTTTGTTTTGCTTTCGCAATTGGAGATGTAAAAAATAGCAGAAGAGATCCGGCTACTTTATACAAAAAAAAAAAAAGAAAAAAAAAGAGAAAAAAAACCGTCAGAAAATTCTTTAGAAACCTTCCTTCCTTCGAGAACGAAGATTCTTAGTATTCTTTGGTCAAATGCTGAGCTCCACGCTACCGCCTAGAAGCCCTTGGTAATTTTCCAGAACAGGATGGACCTCCTCTTCTAAGAACTCGACTACTTGCTCCGGTGCCCTACCAACGAACGTTCGTGGATCGAGAAGATCGTTCAACTGGCCGAGAATCGGAGCAAAGTACGGATCCTTCTTGATCCTTTCGACCAAGTCGTTGTCTTTACCGTGTTGCTTCACCTGCGCGCCAGCTTCTTGAGACAGCACTCTTATTTTCTCGTGGCAGACCTGCAAAAGCAATATACGTTTATTGAATCAACGAGAGATCCAGTGCCATATTTTTTATCCTCCTCTCTTCTTGTCTTAGAACTTGTTAAATTAATCTTTCCGTACGTAGAATAAACGCGCGTTTCCATACGAAATAATAGAGTACGAATCTCTCTTACTTGTCTATCACCACCTGCTTTCACCATGGCCATTATTATATTCTCAGCGGTCATGAACGGCAGTTCTTGCGCGATATGCCTGGCAATGACTTTCGGATAAACGACCATGCCCTCCGTGATATTCTGAAGTGTCATTAGAATCACGTCCGCCGACAAGAACGCCTCGGACAATGTGATCCTTCGATTAGCAGAATCATCGAGGGTCCTCTCCATCCATTGACTAGCCGCCGTTTGCAAAGCATTGTTGGCCAAAGTCATCAAGTGTCTCGCTATGCTGCAACATCTCTCCGAGCGCATTGGGTTCCTTTTGTACGGCATTGCACTCGATCCAATTTGAGTGCTCTCGAACGGTTCCTCCACTTCTTTCATGTTCGCCAGCAATCGAATATCGCTGCAGATCTGTGGCAGAAGAGCGAATGATCGAGTGAATCAAGAAATTCATTCGTGGACGTGTTTCGGAATTAGTTTGTTAGATTAGAGATTTTTACACATCCCTCGCGTTTAAATAATTTCCAGATTGGAAATCTCCCTTATATTCCTTAATTTCTAGCATGTCTCTCGCCCTACGACTCAACTCTCTTCAGAGCCTTTGGAAGACAAGTGTCGTCTGAAAGATATCTCTGAGAAAGAGAATCAGTTGAATTGTCATTTCGCAGTTAGTAATCTAAATTAGTGGGAATCAGTCGGTTTGTAGCTTCATTCAGACAGAATTCTAGAGACTAGAAGCAACCAATTACAATCACTAAAGTTTAATTATTCAGTCCCACGCAAATGAGTGATCCTTCGGCAGATTATTTACAATAATTCAACTTATCGCTCTCTGCTTCGTAGGAAGTTCGTGAGTTTATTCACCTTGTGGACGGTGGAACCCAAAGAGCTCAAAGCGTTCAAGCATTCTACGTCGACTTTTCTGCTGTAAGTTTGCCCCGTCACGGGATAGTGTTTCTCGAATCCTGCCATTTTCGTTACCAGTCGATCCAACTGCTTTACCTTCTCTCCGTCACCTGCGAGGATAAGTCAG